CAGCCAGGCATCGCGTGGCTGCTAGGGAGCAGATGGAGACCATGGTCCCGGTCCTGCACCGTGCCTGCCCGGAGAGGGCATGAGGGGATGCAGGGGGATGAGTGTGCTTGCTGGGTGTTCCCTGCTAAGCTGGGAGAAGCAGGCAGCTCTCTGCTGCCTAAAGTAAAGCCAAGCTCAGTGCTGGTCCTGGGCTGGTGGGACCAGATGGCTGCTAGCCACAGCCCAGGGCGAAATGGGCTGTTTGGGGCTGGGAGCTGGGCCAGGCTGGGAAACGGCGGGGCAGAGGGACTCGAGGGCACGCGAGGGTGATGTGCAGTGGGACCGGGAGGCTGGGAGCAGCGGGGTCTGGCATGGGTCCGGGGGCTCCCGCTGGGCACAGACGCACCGTGCAGACACACCACGCAAGGCCAAGCACCACTCGCACCAGCGGCTGGATTTCCTCTCGCCGAAAGGCAATTTAATGTGGGTGCCATTCACGTGTTCCCCAGGGGGAGCAGCAAAGGGACACCCCCGTGCGACCTAGAGAGAGGCGATCTCATGGTGCCAGCCCCACTGCTGAGTGTGGGCTAGTCCTTCTCTTCGCCATGCGTAATGACATGGACAAGGTTTTTGTAATCCAGGTTGCCAGACATGTCTGGAGGGAAGGCTGCGAACATCTGATCGATCTGCCGAGAAAGAGCCAGGGTGAAAAGGTGGCACAGACGGGGTTTGTGGCTGGGGGGGGGGGGGGGGGGGGGGGGCTGGGAGGAGGGCTGGGGGTCTGTCGGGATGGAGGGCACGGGAGGCTGGCAGAGGGTGGGAAAGAGCTCATACCTCTTCCTGGGAAAACCTCTCACCCTGCGTCATCAGCATTTCTTTGATGCTGCAAATAAGAGAGCGCGGTGAGCACCAGGGGGGCCTCGATGGGGACGCCCGCCCTCCCCCCGGGCACCTCTGCACTCACTAGGCAGATTTCAGGCCTTTCCCCTCTGGATCGAACACTTTGAACGCGTTCAGGATCGTCTCCTCTGGGTCGGCACCTGCGGGTGACATGGCCACGGTCATTGGAGGCGGCAGAAAAGGAAACCAGCTGCAGCCTCCTGCTTCCCCCAGCCTTCGGGGGGAAGATGGGGGGCAGGCTGAGAAGCGGGGTCCCTGTGGGAACGCCAACCCCAGAGCCCTTCCATGCCAGCTGGGGCCTTGAGCACGGGTGGTGGCACGTAGAGGAGTAGACGTAGGGTTATGGTGTGCTCACAAAGCAGGCTGTGTCACCACTGCCTGGCATCCAGCGTCTATCTAATCTTTTGGGTGTATTTATAGAGCTCCAAGCACAGGCCCTCAGGGCCGCGTAGCCTCCTGGAGATCTGCGGGGAGGCTGCGTGCCTTGGGTTGCATAAGTGATACAGGGTGCAGCTGGATGGGGCCGTTCCGTCAAAGTTACGCTGTAGCCAGTGCCCTTGCCAGGGTGGCCGTCGGTGCCACCATTGGTGTCAGCAGGCTCAGAAGTGCTGCAAGGTCTCCTGTCCCCTCTTTCTACGGGGACAGCAGCATCACAGCCTGTTTGGTTTTTTTTTGAATGGCTGGGGAAACTGAGGCACGAAGACCTGCTCATAGCTCCCAAAAGGTTGAAAGGTTGGGGAGACACGGGATGACATCCACGTCTCTGGACGGGCAGCCCCAGCCCTGCCTTTGGGACTGTTGGTATTGCAAGTTAGCATGAGTTTTGGGGCGCAGGGTCCTCCCTGGGGGGTACATGACGCTGAGTTTGTCCTATCTGTGGTGTCTCAGGACAGGGAGGCAGGGAGAGCACCCACGTCCAGGATTTGGAGGACGAGCACTGGAGCTCCTGGGGAGAGGGGTTGTTGCCAGTGATGGTCCCACCGAAGCCTCTGTCTTTGGGGGGGGTCCCTTTGGGGTGCTGCCACTGGGAGAAGGTGGCACTAAGGGATGCGGGAGAGATGGATGAGGGAGATCATTTCACAGGTATCCCATGGTTGTCCCCAGGTGTCACCTCTTGGCCGTGGTGTGGGAGGCATCTTTGCTCTGACCCACTTCCCGGGCTCTGCATGCCGCAGTATGGCATGTGCCACTTGCCTTTCCTTTAGCAGCTCCCATCTGAGGCCTCCAGGGAGCCTCTGATGGGTCTCACCTGGAAGGGTGACGGAGGCCCCGGGAGTTGGGTGGCTTCCCCAAGTGGGACAGGATATCGGTGGAAAAAACGCCGAGCCCCCGCCCAGCTCCCCGGGTGCCCTCTCACCTTTGAGTTTCTCCCCAAACATGGTGAGGAACACGGTGAAGTTGATTGGGCCGGGCGCCTCCTTTATCATCTCTTCGATCTCCTCGTTTTTCACATTCAGGCGCCCTAGGGGAGAGCACCCTTGGGTGAATCGCGTGTCCCTGTCCGGCTGCAAATACGTGCAGACCTCCGGGCTCTGCTCTATGTGCTAAAGGACACACCATGGGAGCCTTGCCCTGGAGGTTTTTCCCCCACCTGAGGGAAGCAGCACAGCCCTGGGGAGCCGCCTCCAACAAGGAATGGCCGTAGCAGAAGTGAGGAAGGGAGAATCACGTGCTGGCAGAGGATGGGTGAGCTGGACATCTCCAGCTCCGGTTTCTCAGGCTCCAGGATCACAGAAGAGAGGGGCTGCAAAGGACTGAGCTGTGCTGCTTCCTTCCCTCACCACACCGCCCCATGGATCAGCCTGCTTCAACCCTCCTCGGAAGATGTTTTGGGTCAAAACCACCAGTGCTGTGGTTCCCCTTAGCCCCGGGTGTCAGAATTGAACATGACTGAATGCCTGCGTCCTTTTACTTGAGGTTGGGTTGTCTTTGGGACTCCCTGGACCCATCGCTGGTTCGTGCTGGGTCCGTGATGAGAGAGCCAAGCTCACAACTTCACAGCTTCCCACAAATCCCGTAAATGCCCCTAATGCCCATGCACGTAGGGATGCCGCGGGATGGACACAGCCAGGTGCTTCTTAGCACGCGAGAAGGCAGGGAGCATTTGGCCGTGTGTAATCCAGGAGCTGGCTCTTCTCTAGTACCTACGGGATTAACCACCCGCTGCTGCGGGAGCTGCTCTGAGTCACCCCACGTGGCATCTCGCCGGCTAACAGAAGTGGGTTTGGATCAGGAGGTTTTCAGCAAAACAGGAGATCCAGTTAACCCCCGGGGCTTGGTTAAACTGGGGCTCACAGCTGATTTCTCACTTAATAGGTCGTCAAAGCTGTCGGGGAGGGGAGGGTCCCAAAAGGGGGCTCACCGAGCGCAGCAAATGTGTCTCTCAGATCCGCCTTGTCGATGAAGCCGTCCCGGTTCTGATCCATGATGGTGAACGCCTGGAAGCACAGGAGGAGGGCAGGGAGCACAGGGAGAGCTGTTGGCCTTTGCAAAGGCTTTAGTACCCTCCTCCTCCTCCTCCTCCCATGGAGTTGGATGGGACAGAGCGCTTCAAGCCCTGCACAGGACGGGGCTCTGGGGGTCCTCACCCAACGAGGGAGCAACAACCATCACCCCAATCCAGCAGCAATCCTGGCCCCTGCACCCTTGGGCGATGTGGGGTGATGGCTTCCTACGGCAGCCCAAACCCTAATGCCGTACAGACCCTCTCCTTGGCCAAAGCCCTCTCGCCCGGGGATGAGACCAACTGGAGAGGACAATCTTAGCCATCAGCTCCCGCAGCTGGGACCAGTTATCCCTGTAACTGGGATCTACACAGGACCATGTGCCAGCCGTACAGGGGGTAAGTCGTGAAGAGCTCCTGGCACGGCAGCTGGGAGCTGGCTGGGAGGACGTGCTCCTGCTCTCCTGGATGCTGCCGGCTCCTCAGAGGGGTGCGAGCTCCTAGGAAGCTTTGAGGCGATGCCGTGTTTAACAATGTCACCGAGTTGTTATTCGCCCTTTTAAAATAAAATGACTCAAAACCGGGCATGCTGCCTCTCGTTGCAAACCAGCTGTCACCGATCTGAAAGCGCTGAGGAAAGAGCTGAAGGTCACATTGCATCAGGGACCCTCGGTCATTTCTACCAAACTCACCTACCTCTTTGAATTCCTGGATCTGGGCCTGCTCGAACATGGAGAAGACGTTGGAATTAGCACCTTCAATCCTCTTCTTGGCTTTCTTGGGTGCCTGCAGGGGTTCAAGTATGTATCACTAACGCACTGGCTTTTTATGGTATGGAATAAAAGCATGAAACTACCCTATTCTTAGATGTGAGTCCTTCACGGTAGCTCTGGGCTGGTGCTGCCACTGCACTTGGGTGCTTGGTGGTTTCCCCGAGCATTGCTCAGCAGCTCTGGGCACATGCGACCCTCCGAGATACTGAGGGGTGTTAAGATTCCTGCTTAAATTACAGCTCCGTCTTTGCTTTCCTGATGAATTTAGCCAAATAGGTCCGAGGAAAGATGAGTTGGGAAATTGCTTCCCCACCAAAGGCTACGGCAGGTAAAAGGATCGGCACTGGGGTGAGATCTCCCGGGGTGGAAACTGGGGTTTGGGAGCACGCTGCTGAGGTTGCACGCGAGGGCTGTAGTCGTTAGGTGCTTCCTCACCCTGCTGTGCCTCTCACTAAGAACAAAGCACTTATTAAAACGTTTACTTATTAAAAAATCTGTCTCCTCCTGCACTGAGGCTTGAAATAACCAGAAATGGCTTGATGTGTCTTTTAAACAGGAGCGGAGGACAGAGCTGCTCACCGTCCCGTTGTCCCTTGTTTCTGGGGGGTCTTGGGGGACACAGCTGCCCTTCCTC